GGAGCCGCTGGGAACCACCCGCCGGGCACACGTGGATGACCCGTGGCTGGGAGCTGCCCTCCACCTTGGCACCACGGTGGACCAGGACGGTGCGGATGTCCTCGCAGCACTGCACTTTCAGCTGCTCCGCTGAAAAGCCGCCGTCCCCCTCCACTCTCCTCATAGCCCTGTGACTCTGCCACCGGAGCAGGGCGTCCAGCCCCTTCCTAAACCAGGGTGATACCAGGAGGGTCTGCAGACGCCTCTGCCCGGGGCAGCGAGGCCCGTAGCGGCATGGCCGCAGACTGCCCTCCTCCAGCCGCTGCTCCGTCACCTCCGAGAGAGCCTGTGGCCGCAGGCGGGGCGGGAGCCTCTGCAGCAGCCACGAGGCGTTACACCCAGTCCCTGGCAGCTCAGCCATAAACATGAAAGTCTTCCCCAAGGCCCTAGAGGTATTTGAGGACACGCAGTCATTGAAGTACAGCCTGTGGGATGGCTCTAGGCAGCCGGCAGTGCTCAGCAAGTACAGCTCATCCACAGCGGAGAAATCAGGCGCCTCCAGGCTCTGCAGGAGCTGGAAGAAGTGCTGTGTGGCCAGCAGGACTGCCTTCTTCTGTCTGGTATTGAGGATCCCATTGACACGGCTCTCCTGGTGGATTTGGGCCAGGACACAGCTGTAGTGAGTCAGTGTGGGGAGCAGGACCACCCCAAGGTGTTGCAGGAGTTCTCCATAGACAGCCATGTGGGGGTCAAGCACGAGGAGATAGGGGTAAAAGTCACCTTCGTCTGGAAGCGATGTCACCACGTGTCGTGGCACGGCCATGTGCCCTGACTTGGCCAGCACCACGGGGAGCTCAGCGAGGTGCCCTGCATCCACTTCATTCAGGTGGGTCTGCAAGAAGCTGTACACCTTCTGGAGCACACTGGCCCGTGTGGTCACCTGCTGTGGTTTCCCGCAGGCTGCCCTGCACACATGCTCCAGGTTGGCCACCACCATGGCAGTGGGTATCTCTACAAGGACTCCCATGGCCTCCAGGACCTTCAGTTCCTTCTTCAGCACAGAGGACTTCGGCAGAATAGTGGCTGATGTCCACAGGAGCTCAGCCACGTCTTCCTGCCAGCAAACACTGCCCTTCAGGGCCACGGGCTTAGTGCAGGCTGCAAAAGGGGGGTGGAGGTCCCTCAAGGTTGAGGGGATGTCCAGTGGAGGCAGGAAGTGAATTGAGGCAATTTGCTCCAGGAAACTCTCTGGCACAGGATTTTCCACCAGGATGCCAAGCTGGTTGATCATCTCCTGCTGTCGTGCCCGCAGGCCTTCAGCGTGGCACTTGGCCTGAGCGGCTTCACGCTCTATCTTCTGGGCCAGTGCCACGAAATCCTCCACAGAGAGGCTGCTGCGGACACCCACCTGAAGCAGGAAATCCTTGGCATATTCCCACATGTGGCCTAGACCCCCAAAGAAAGACTCGGGCACGAAGCGGTGCTGGAGCTGCACGGTGCAGAAGGAGGGTGTGTTTTTGTAGAAGTAGGAGGCCTTGCGTGGCACACCATTGGCATCGGGTATAAAGGCCACGTTCTGAAAAGCTGCCACAACAGCTTTCCTGGACTTATGGTCACAGATGTGTTGCAGTTCAAAGAACAAGCGCAGAGCTTCCTTAAGCTCTTGCATTTTGAGCTGGGAAAGCCGAGGCAGAACCACGGTCATGAAGAGCTGCTTGTCGTCCGTGGGCTCCCACTGCAAAGCCTTGGCCAGCTGCTGGTGGATCTCGTTGGCTGTGAGCAGCAACGTGCCCCCCTCCAGGCTGTACAGGGCTTGGACACCCGGGGGCAGCTGTGGGAACCGGCTGGTGAGCAGCAGCACCTTGCGGTACGGTGCCACAGGGACATAGCCCCCGCCGTACCTGCGGAAGAGGGGCAGGAGCCGGAGCTGCTGCAGTGCCGACGTGTCCAGTTTCCCCTGCACAAAGTGCAGCAGGACGTTCACATCCAAGTCGTTTAATTTTCCCCAGTGGAGATCAGCTCTAGCGTGTGCCAGCTGGGCCAGCACAGCCTGGGGTTCTGTGGCCTGCAGCGCCCTCGTCTTCAGGTAGTCATTGGCGAACATTGAAGGCAGCAGGGACTTGTGGAGCACAGGGATGCCCAGTTTGTGCAGCACCCTGGCCTCACTCGTGTCACAGTCAAAAAGTACCTTGGGGAGGGAGGATAACGGCAGGCACTTCCAGCCTGTCCCATCCCCACGAATAGGCAGCACTGCCACATCCTGGAGATGATGCATTAATGCCTCCAGTTCCCGTTTGTCATTATCGGATGTGAAGACCACAGTACTGAAGAAACTCCACAGCCCCCTGAGCCACTTCTCCCCCTCTGTGGACCAGTTCAGCTGACCCAGTGCCTCCTGGATGAGTGGCGTGGCCTCCAGGAGGCTAAGCCTCTTCACAAAGCAAGGCAGGAGCAAGTCAGAAATCAAGCGGTCGGCAAAGCGGTGGCAGTGCTGGGGAAAGAGGTGGGCGTGGGAGCTGTGGAAGACTGGGTGGTGGGTACTGAGGGCATTCAGGTGGCCATCTTGTGTGGCCAGCAAGGGCAGGCCCTCCAGTTCCGCCTTGTCCGTGTCCTCGGGCTCCAGGCAGTGCTTCAGCAGGCTGCAGCAGTTCTTGTGGTCCTCAGGGGTGTCTCAGCCAGCACGCAGGGCACGGGGATTGCCAGAGCCTTGAGAAAGCACCGGAGCGAGGCTGGCTCCAAGGCAACGGCCTCCACACGGGCTTCAACGAACTCCTTGTACATCTGCCGCAGGTGGGAGAACGCTGGCACCAGGTTCATGTTCAGGTGCTGCAGCACCTCCTGGAGACATGGCTTAGGCTTCTCCTTGAGGAAGTACGGCTCTGTTAGCACATCTCTACCACCCGGAGATGCCCAGGTCACTGTCACCATGCTGTCAGGTGGCTTCACGTGGTACACAGGCACCAGAGGCAGGCGTGCATGGCTGAGGTGCCTGTAGACGTCCCTCACCAGGTCCTGAAAGATAGGTGGTACCTCTGTCACAGTAGGGAAGAAGCGGAGGTAGTGGGAGTCTAGGCATTTCTGGCAGACCTCCAGGGACTCAAACTGGAGCTCTTCTGGCCCCAGGGACTTCCACTGCTTGGTGAGAAAGGCACAGTATAGTGGAGCCACCAAGTGTCGGAGCAAGAAGCCATTCCAGTCTGCCTCTGTGCTGCCCGGGTCCTGCCTGAGGTTGCGTCTAGCCACATCCACAGAGAAGTTGGCGTTGATGTGCACAGGCAGCCCTGTGGTCAGCGGCAGTGGAAGGGTGCAGAAAGCTTTGCCCATGACATTGTTGAAGCTCAATGGCTTCAGGCAGGCAGCCAGAGCCCCATAGGGTAGCCGCCCAGGCACCGGAGACCCTTCAGCCCCCTCCTGCACCCCAACTTGGGAGATCACCCTCCACACAGTGCTGGCCCTGGCCTTGCTCTTTTTGACTGTCATGATATAGGAGACAGAGGTGGGGCTGGTCCCATGCACATCTTGGCTCAGTCTCGCTTGAAAACCCTGTCTCAGCTCTGCATCACCATCTGTCAGCTCTGTGGCCACCCGCAGCCTCTCCAGCATCTCCTCCCCATCTGGGGGGATCTCAGAGAAGACCATGGTGCGGAGGTGCCGAAGGAAGAGCATCAAGTTTTCACCTTCCTCAGCTAGTACTGTCTTTACGGCTGCAATGTCTTGGTCCCGCACAACGATGTCAGACACCTTGGAGGTGGTAGCCCCAGTTGCAGTGCGGAGGGGCAGCCGGAAGAGGACGCCCTGGCTCAGGTCGAAGTGGGAGGGTAGGAAGGTGTTATAAATGGCTGGAAAGGCCTTCTTGAATTCAGGGTTGACACCAAACATTCCACCAGGCTTCTCTGTTTTGGCTCCGGGCACGTAGTAGCAATGGGGATCTAGGACACACAGGGCACTGTCTCCAGTAAGGAAGGCTGGGCAGTCAGTAAAATGGAAGACAGTGTTGAACCCAAGGCCATATTTGCCTGTGACATCCTGCCGGCCTTGCTTGCTGCCCACCCCCAGACGCTGAATGCCTTCAATGTCCTGCTGTTGGAAGGGGCTGTCATTGTAGATGCAGAGGGCAGGGCCCTGCAGGTGGTTCCAGTTCTCACTGAAAGTGGTGTCCACTGGGTGCTGCCGGCGGTCCCACACGAAGTGCACAAGCCCCGCACCAGCATCGTCCGCATTCTGCAGCAACTCCTTCACCAGATCGTGAGCGGACGCTGGGTACTCACACAAGATGTTCTTCAGCCGTGTAGGTAAGTCTTCAAAGGCACCAAATGGCTGCATCCAGAGGCTCAGGTCTTCTGTGAGCAGTTGGTTCCTCTCCAGTGCTCGGTGGCGTGTGGTGGGCACCCCACAGCGCAGAGCTGTGGCTCGGGACAGCTGTTCGTGGCACAGCAGGACATCTCTGTCCAAGGACATCCACGGCGTATCGTTAAAGTGCAGCTTGTCCCGCGGCCGCAGAACGCCCTCCTGGTCAGGTAGAAAGAGTTGCTGGGTCTGGTAGGCGTCTGGCTCTTTATCGTCTGCCATCAAGCCAAAAATGACCAGCCTCAAGGCCAGGTCCAGCTCTGCGGCCGGCAGCGGCTCTCCGGCACACTGCTCCGCCAGGACGCCGAGCACTCTGGCGTAGTCCTCCCAGGCGAAGGTGCGGCGCAGCCCCACGCACTTCCAGAGGTGGCTGCAGGGCTGGTACTCCTTCGGGAGCTGGTGAAGATAGGGTTCAGCCTCAAATGACAGCTCCTCAGCCACAGCCGTGACCGGCACAAAGTGGGAGCCCACCAAGATGAAGGGCTCTCCTTGGGCCGCTGCAGAAGCCACCTCGTCCCAGCTGGAGCGATCCTTCTCGAGCAGCTTGTGCAGGTACCTGTAGCAGCAGAGGGTGCTGTTCTGCAGGTTCTCCAAAGAGAGAGCGTTGGAGCTACGGCTCAGTGCCTGCAGCTGCTTGAGGACTGTAGTTGCTGGCAGCTGCCGGTCCAGTCCCAAGAAGGATACAACATCCCTGGGGAGGCTGAAGTTTTCCCCCAGTGCTTTAGGAGCCAAGACAGGGTGGATGAGTCCCACTAGCGGGGCATCGACATGATGGTAGAGCTGGGCAGCTGGCAACAGCACACATTCTCCCGTGGGCAGAGTACCAGGGAGGAAGGGCACAGTCTGGAAAGCTGCCTGCATGGTGTTGGTCACCCTCTCTTCCAGGGCATCCTGAAGCAGCTCAAGGATGCAGGCAGCCCTCCGGCAGCCCTGGGCACGGTCCTCAGTCCAGATAAGCTGCACCGTCTTTGCTCGCTCCAGCAGCTCTGGCAAGGTCGTTGTGTCCTTCATCATGCCCAGCCTCTCCAGTTGGCTTAGTCTTTCCGGGGAGAGGAAGGAATTCCCCATGGGGAAGCGCCCATCCTTGGGGTCATACAAAGAGGCAATGCGGCCTCTGGGATGCACCAGGCAATTGATGCACTGCAGGTGGCCATGAGGGGTGGCAGGGATGCAGGGCACTGTCTGCAGCATTTTGTTCACATCATCATGCAACATACCTAGTGCGTGGAGCACCAGGGAGTCCCGGTCAACAACAGAGAGGTCCTTCAAGTTGGGAAGCACAAGCTCGCAGTAAAAACGGGGCCAGTCATAGGTGCCAGCATCCAGTGCCTTCCCGAGGCCTCTCTGCACCTGCTCTGGCAAGGCCACAGCTAGCAGGGGATGGGGCAGGGTGGAGGCAAAGACACGCTTCGCCACAGCGCCCAGCGTGGGGTGTCTGACCACAGCCTCGTGCAGGAAGCGGGCATCCTGCAGTGAGCACCACGAGCGGCCGTCAGAAAACAGCCCGGGGCCATCCCTGGCTGCCAAAGCCTGGTAGAATCCAGTCACAGCCTCAGTAAAGGGGTAACGGGCAGTGTCAGCGTCCGGCCAGAAGACATGATACTCGTAGCTCTTCAGCTCACCTGCCTCATGCATGGTGCGCAGGTGGCGCAGTGCCCGGAGCCAGGCAAGGGGCACAGCCTTGCGGAGCAGCAGCCGGTTCCACTCGCCCCGCTGCGCCGTGTCCCACAGCCCCTTGCGGTTGGAGAGGATGCTGAAGGCCCCGTGCACGTGGACTGGCAGCCCTGAGGCGACTGGCATGGGAAGGTGGCAGAAGACTCGTCCCTCCTCGGCACCCGGGCTTGGCACCCACTTGCCGTCCGCGGTAAGGGCGAGGGGAAGGGCCACGCCAGCCATGGGAGGCGGAGGATGGAGTCCTGCCTGCGTGTTCTGCTGAAACAGTTCCAGCAACTCCCCATCACCTGGGCACACCAAAACTAGGTAGTGCCACGTGGTCTTGGATGCCTCCTCGCAGGCTGTGAGCCGCTCTATGGCTGCCCAGCCCGGGGGGTCCCCAGGAGCCCCCAGGTCCCGGATCTCCTTCCGCCGCAGCGTGGCCACAGGCACAGTATCCCCCGCAGAGGTGGCCACGTCTGGCAGCGTCTCCAGGGACACCTCCCTCACCTTCTGCAGGAAGAGCAGCAGGAGCTGGTTAGAGCCGAGGAAAGTGGTGCCAAGGGACTGGATGCGCTCTGCACCAAAGGCCTGCGAGCAAATCTGCGACGTCACAGCTTCCTCTTCCGTGCGAAAAGGCAGGCGGAAAAGGCTCCCTGGAAAGGGTCCTGGCTCGGGCAGGCGGCACCCAAAGATACCATGGTAGGGCCAGAACTGCTCAGCGAAGGCACGGAGGATGCGTGGCCGCCTGGAGAAGTCCAGGCGGATGCCAGGGCAGCCAGCCCTGGGGATGTGCTTCTCCAGATGGGTGCCGTTCGGATCAAAGATGAGCAGTGTCTCCCCACTCAGCACTGCTGGCACATCCGTGACACGGTAGACAGAGCTGAAGCCCAGCCCAAAGCGCCCGATCTGGTCTGCCCGCCCCTCCTTCGTAGCAGCCCCAATCCGTGTGATGTTACAGAAGTCATCCTCTGTGAACAGGGCGTTGTTGTAAGCCCAGAGGGCTGGGCCGTGGCAGGCAATCATGCCAGGGTCAAGCAGCCCAGAGGTGGCCTCTCTGCGGTGGCGGAGGTCCAGAAGAAAGCGGCACACAGTAGCTCCAGCATCCTCTGCATTCTGGACCATCTCCATGAAGAGGTCGCCCTCCTCCCCGTACTCCCGGAGGATGTTTTGGAGCCGTAAGGTGATGGGCTCCGAGGGGCCGCAGGGTGTGAACGGCTCCGGGCCCAGCACCCGCGTACTGAGCAGCTCCGTGCCGAAGAACGTGGCTGTGCTGGCCGGCACTGCCTCGTGCACCACCTCCTGAACATCCTCCTCCGCCTCCAGCCCCATGTCCAGGTACACAGTAGAGGCGGCCGGGCGGAGGGCAAAGCCCGAGCCCTCCTGGAGCCTTACAGGAACCGGCACCGTGCCCTCCCCTCGGTGCCCCCGACTCTTCAGCCACGCCAGGATAGCTACAGCCACCTGCAGCTCTGCTGCAGTGCCGGTTCTGGAGCTGCGTGTGTCTATGTCCTGCCCCAGGCGGCGCAGGGCTGCAGCTGCCCTCTCTTCACTCACTGTCGCCTCCACCCCCCAAGCCCTGAAGAGGCAGCTGTAGGGCAGGAAGTCAGGGGGCACCCGGGGCACCAGCATCCCCAGCTCCAGCTCCTCAGGATAGCCCAGCACAGCGTCACGTGGCAGCACAAACCCAGCCCCGGTCCACACCACAGCATCATCTGGGGCAGTCCCAAAGGTCTTCAGGTTTTCCTGCATGTGCCGGTAGACAGGTTGGAGCGCGGGACCCACCTCACCCGTGTCCCTGCACCTCACCAGCTGCCTCAGCTGCTCCCACACTCTCTCTGGTGGTGGGGTCTGGCTCAGTCCCAGCTTCTTCTCCGTCTCTGGCACAAAGGCCCCAGTCAGGTGCATGGCAAGGCCTACCAGGGGCTGGTACTGACTGGAGCGCAGCTCCCTGGGGGGCAGGAAGGGCTGCTGAGGTTTCCCAGTGCACTCGGAACGGCAGGGCCTGGAGCTGCTCGAGCTTTGCCACGCTGAAGCCAGCCAGTGTCTTGGGGGAGTTGCAGACGTCGATCAGTGCCCGAGCCCTGTCCAGAGCTGCTGCATCACCCTGGCTCACGCTCGCTGCAGCCTCTAGGACGTCGGAAGGCGCCAGGCACCCCTCACCGTGCCGCAAGCCCAGGGCTCTCAAGGCACGGAGGACAGGACAGGCGGGCTGTGGAAGGCAGGAGGAGGAAAGCGCCCAGGGCCCAGCAGCACCTGCAAGGTGTCCTCAGAGGGGTCATAGAGGTCTCCTGGGCACACGGGGCCGCCGGGCGTCTCCAGGAAGGGCAGGTTGCTGCA